ATGGGATAGAAAACAGATATTTGTTGTCCATTTTTTTAAGCAATTTTTGTTTCATTATTTTAGATGCTGTCCGTTAAGCAACACAACATTTTACTAGGATATTGTCATAAATTGTTATTTTACATGTGCCAGTAATGACTTTGGAGTTCAATCATTAGTCATATTTTTATTTCAAACCTGTAGAGTTTTATATTTAGGATTTGCTTAGAATAGAAAATAAGCAGTATGTGTCACTGATTCATTTGTTTAGTTTTAAAGATGTTTTATGATAATTATAGTGTAGCCTGATCAATCAGATCTGCTTTTGTTCAGCAGATTTCTTTTAAATGCATCACCATTGTAAAGCTCCAGTTTCAGTGTGTTGTGTGAGCTTCTTGATTGGTGTAGCCTGACATTTGTCCCACTTGTCAAACAAGAAAGATCCACATCAAACTGTGATAACAGCAAGAACTGAAATCAAGCGTGTCTGGTCTTGTCAGGCTCTCCACGCTTATGTCAGCGATGTGTCGTCACATCCAAAGAAAGGACGGCAGAGCATGACACAAGAATTATGTGTGTATAATATTTTTCTATTGATAAATTACTGTCGAGTATTTTGTTATGACACATTTCACAGTACTTAGTGCAATCACAGTTTGTGAGTACAGTATATGACAGCACCCATGTGACAGCTTTGCTGTTTATGCTGTGTACACATCAGTCAGGAGACAATTAGGAGCTGTTTAAAGAATAATGTCTTAAAATATTAAGAAGGCTTTAAAGCAGCAGCAGTCTTATATACCCCGACACAGCTGTCATTACTAATTGATAAATACAGAAAAGCACACTAGAACTAGATTAGTAAAGCACACACTGCTTGTAACGTGGGACACGTGGAAATCTGACACATTTAGAGTTGTGATCCCGCCTCTTTGAGCATGTAAAACACACTTGCTCACGGGGGAGAGTTTCTGTTCTACAGTTGACTGGAGGGAGTTCATGTTCACACAGCGCGGAGAACTTTACTGACTGACAACTTAACAGAGAGCAGAAATCACAGATCTAAAGGCCATCATGTCTGAGAAGAACACAAGTAAAGACGGGAAAAGTGGCGTAAAGAAAAAGGATAAGGACCCTGAGAGATCAAGCAAGTCTGACAACTCCCCACAAGGTAAAGCGCTGCTCTGTTGAGGTGTTGGGAAACGGGTCCAATTTTTGGGTGTTGTGAATGGATTGACAAGCTGGACTATTGAGTAGGCTTCAATTGTTTCTGAGCTCAGCTCTTTACTGCGCTTTCAGGTTATCCACTGTAACGTTTGTTCGCATGTCAAGGGAGAAAGGGCAGAAGTGTTTGTAAGCATTAACATGACCCACCGGTCCGGTGACTTAATGGAGAGGGTTTCCCGTTTATTATACAGGCTGCTTAACTTACAGATGGGTTTATAATAGTCTGGAGTTCTGTGGGGTTCAGTATTTCAAACTGTACCTTTACAAATTATATTTGTTAGCATAACAATGAGTGAAAGGTGGAATTGGAAAAATGTACTTGATGATAAGTATGAATGATCACACCTGCACCTGTTTACCAGCATGATCTGAGATGTTCCAAAGAGACCTAGAATATTCCATTTCAGAATTTCACCTGCTATTTCATATTTTTGTTTTTTGAGTCCTAAATTCACTGTTTAATTTAAATTTAAATTAGATTTGAATCAGATGAGCTCATTTTGGACCCCATTGTATGCAATTGAAAACACACTCTTGGTTATTGATCAGTAACACTAAGTATTAAGTTAATGTGTGATGAGAAAGGTAAGTGAGTTTTCCACTCGTAGCCTCATTTTTAATATTAATTTTTAATTTATTTTATGACAGGTGTGACGCATGGCAGAAGGTCTGAGCGAATAGATTCTGTGAATTAACTCTTGGTGAAATATTAGGCAGAAGAACACATTTAGATTTCCCAGCATTAATTCAGTTACACACTCATGTTGAAACATGCTCGTGCCAGCTTTAGATGAAACTCAGTTGTGTAAAATGAGTCCTGTTCATTGCGTTTCAGCACGGTGGCAGCGTGTGTGTGTGTGTGTGTGTGTATAAACACATGCCAGGAATTACTGTGAAGTATTTGGACTTTTGAGACCAACTTAAAAATGTCTGAATGCCTCTCCATTAAACATAAAATATCAAAGCAACTTTTTTTTCTTGTAAGAAAAATAGCATGAGTGAACAAAGCATCTGATTATCAAACATAAAGATGTTTGAAATTATAAAAAAATAGATCTTGTGTTTAAAATAAAAACACTTTTTTTGTAGTTAGTAGTCCATGGTTAATGTGATTCTTTGCACCTGTGGTTCTTCTGCTAGGACAACCTGTGTGAGGAGAACTGACTTCACACATCAACTAAAAATCACCAAAACACCAGCTGATTCAAACACACTGAGACTTAAGAGGAAAAGTGACGTTAATGAAGAGAAAAGATCATTTAGACATGCCTAATGCCAGGTTCAGTCTACACTATATTTTTGTCGGTCACAATAGTCACTGTGTCAGATTACACGATTTTGACTCCTAAAATCTTGTCCAGTCGTGGACAAAGTCGTGGCAAAATCGGGCTAAAATCGTGTAGTCTGAACCGGTCATAAGTGTGACTGAAGTGTCCAAATTTAATACTGGATATGAGAGTATCCCCCCTTTAGTTACAAGCTTTAGTATTGTTAGGGAAAAAGTAGGGAAACTAAGATGACTGGCTGATCTGTCTGTCTGAACCTCATATTAGATCATGGAATTCTTCTCTCGCTGTACTGGAATGTGGACCCTGATCCGACTTGATTTTGCGGCCTAAGAAACAGTGTAGGAGTTTCCCCAAAGGGAACTGGTCCGTGACATAAAGAAACAGCTGGATGGGCAGCAGTCTGGACACAGAGACTGCGGCGACTCGGAGGAAACGGAGATCAGACACAAATAAAGCTGTTCGCTGTTATTTATCCATGAGTTTACCATGGTAAAATATGTGTTGCATTTGCGATTATTACGTGCTCAGTGGAGTGTGTCTGAGGATGTCTCTGCTGACATCTGTATGTGAGGAAACCCTATAGGTGTCCCCTAGAGATTTCTACAGTCTGTCTGTATTGCTGTCATCACTGTGCTATGCAAGCGATTCTTGTTATTAAAAGCACCTTGTCAACAGGAAATGTTGTAAGATAAGGCAATAGCCTCCTGAAGATGAGCAAGATTTTTGAGCTGCATAGTTTATCATTGTGAACTGGGAATTGGGGGTTTGGACTGATTTGGAGTTTAGTGTTTCTAATGATTCACAATAAATTGACCAGCTGTGATTGGTTTAAGCTGGCAAACAACACCTTCAGGTTCAGTAGAAATCAGAGTGCTTCTGTTGGATTTACCAGCCCAGCAATAAAGAATAAATAGCCAGAATAAAGACAGGAGACAGACGTGAACCTGTGCCATATGCATTTGTGCGGTCAGTGGGGCCCAAACAATTCTCACTATAATGGGCACAGCAACATTAAAGGCTGAATAATCACTGAAAAACTGTCCAGATCATCACCCTCTCTGAATAAATGAAAAAATGAACAGGTTTATGAAATTGGGTTGTTCATCTTTAGTTTTCCGTATGTCTCTTCAGACTTGCGTAGTTACTGCAGTGTTGCTATCACCCCCTGCTGGTTTGGACTTATAACTTCACTCTTCTTGAGCATCAGTATGTTGTACATCAGTCAGAAACCTTGTGCTGTAATGGGAAGATATCTAACCCGATCCTTTAAAGAAACACACCGAAATATGATTTTGTGTAGTTGTGTATCTTTTTACCTTTGTTTAAGTCATGTTATGATGTTTCTACTTTAAGGCATGTTGTTTTCCCTTTCTTTCTTTTGAAAAAGATGCCATGATGTACAGTATGTATAATTTAAACAAAATAATTAATGAAAGGATAACGTGAAAATACCAAAACCATTGTTTTATTCATTATAAATATATAAATAGAAATTATAAATAAATTTACAACATGTGTGACAACATGGTCCCACCTGATATTTATGAAAAATACTTTTGAGAGCTCAATTCAGCCATTCAGTTTAAATATGCATTCATTACAGTATATTGTGACTCTTTTGTGTCAGCATATCAGATACTAAAAGTCACAATATATATTGAAAATTAACTCCAAAAAATTATCCTAATTATCCTTTTTGTATTTGTAATCTACATGCAAACCACTGCTAGAGAAAACATGAATTTGTGTAATTGGGCTTGATTGATTAAAAGCTTACAGTTACAGCTCAAGTGTGTGCCCACACATTTTTACAAATTCAAAACTGTGTGGCTTTCAGTTTATTGGTGTCTGTCATATACAGCATAAATGATATTTCAAAGGCCACTGTTTATTTCCAGGCTGTGAAGTGAATATGAGAATGAGCTGTTGTTCAGTGGTGCTCCTGCTGTTGAGGGTTGAACTCGCTGTTTATTCTGCTGTTTGGTTTGTCTCGCAAAGATCAAATCAAACAGCATCACATTTAACTAGACCGTTTCATGGCATCTTAAAACATCTCTGATGAGGGGACCATTATGCTTTCTTTTTTGTCTGTGTTAGTGTTATGGGTATGGTTTGTGGTTGAACAGCTGTAGGGATCTATTGAAACTAATGTCTGGAATGATGAATTTCTTTACTGAGAGGACAGCAGTGTGGGTTCCAGATACCCAGAGAACATTTTAGTAATTTTGTACAAAAAAATGAAGCCTATTTCGTATTTTCTTTTTGTATTTTTTCATTATTTCATGACATTTTTTTCTTATATTCATGATTGACAATTAATAATTATAAATAATAAAAAATTTTATTGTAAGGGCATTTGAGGAGAAGCTGTTCAAATGACCCTACAATAAAAATATAATTACAGAATGGGGTGAAATACAGTGAAATATTGCAAGTTTGACCCTTGTGATGGCCGATGGCTTTCTGTGAGTAATTTCTATTTTCTGTTTTGTGTCTTTGTTTCAGCGGAACCCAAGTTAAAGGACCTGCGGAGCGTGACAGTGGAGGATGGAAAAAAGACCGTACTGAAGTGTGAGATTGTGGCGGGAAATCCAGCTCCCAGCATTAAGTGGTACAAGAACGGAAAAGAACTCGCAGGCAAAAACAAACCCAAAGGCATAAAGATTAAAAAAAAGAAACAGTAAGTTCCTATAACAGAATTATACTTAAGAAAAAGCATGACTATATGTTGTTCAGGCTGAATGAAGATTTGGCTTCATAGAATATTGAGTCAGAAATGTTATTGTTGCATTTGCAGGAACAGATATCAGCCATGTGTATAGTATGTGGGCAGGTGATTTAAAAAAAATTAACCCAGTATAATCCAAACTGGCCTGTGCTGAGATACAAACACAGTGCATCAGCATTATATTATACTGAAATTCTCATTTTAATGACAAGGCTGTTTAGTTGGGACAGTAAACAAGCAATATAAATAAGCAACATTATGTAACTTTCTACAGGGGGAAAATATCTGAACTGTTGATCAGGAAGTCCACAGAAGCAGATGCTGGTTTATACACCTGTGAGGCAGTCAACAACCTTGGAAAAACAAATACTACAGCAAGCCTAACCATCAGGAAAAGTAAGAATGCATCCTTTTTACAAGTATTAAAATCAATAATGTGCAAATCAGTGGTGAGGCTATAGGGACAAGAGTGACACCAGTCCATCCTTAATGATGGTGGTACCATCCAATCCAAGCTGCCAGAATATACTGGAAAAAATCAGATCAAAACTGCAAAATCGTCCTAAGCGAACCTCTGTCTCTTATGTAGCTTAGGAAAGTCTGAATCATGTTAATGAATCAGTTCATCCTGAATGGTGCTCTCTTTCTCTTATACGGTATGTAGCTTTGAAAAGTCAGATTCATTCTGGTGATTCAGTTTGTCCTAGACAGACCTCACGTAGCCTTGAAAGCCTGATTCATTCTGGTAAATTGGATTATATAACTGACAGTTATATAAATTGGGGAGTATTCAGGTTTTGTATTTATTTTAATTATAAATGCATAGTTTCTCTTCTTTTCGATGTTAGGTTTAGTCACATTGTGGTTTTTCATTCATTCAGAAGCCCATATTGAAATAATTACAAACAATAAATAATGGCATGGGATAGAGGCACAGAAAAGGAGATTTCTGGCCTCACCACTGGTGCAAATAAGATAAATATTAACAGGACTGCCTGGAGCTCTTTTGCATAAATTGTGATGTAATGAATGAATCATATTGAACGGTGAATCAACCTTAAAGATTTATAAAGCTTCAGAATTTCACATAATAGTTCCAACAGAGAGGTTTTGAAAGAGCTAGATAAGCAGTTATTAATGAGCTGGTGTCCAGACTAGTGTTTCATGGGCAAGAGCTTAAAGTTAGGTGGTTTTCTTGTAAAGTGATGGCAAAGATCACTCTCATCACATCTGTGCAACACAAGATGACCAGTTTTTGTAGGTCCATGCTTGTTTAAAATTCAGATACATTGATTCCACGCAACTGTATTTGATTTTACAATTTCTGTCTTATATTCATTGGCTTATTAGTCAAAGCCCTACCACTCGTCCTGCAGCCTTTGTGCTACAGAAATTAATGATTTATTTTTGAGGAGAGGTGTGCTCTTACGGTGCTCAATGATCAGACGTATGACTTTCACCTGCTAGACGATAGAAGGGGTGAAAAAAATCCCACTGACGCACATATCTAAAGACCTGAATATGTGTGTCCCAGTTCGCATAATTGCGCCACTTTGTAGTATAAATATTGTGAGTCGTGTGTTAACACTGAAAATTCCAACATGAAGAAGTGCACTTCAAATAATCAGATAATGCACTTATTTAAACAGTACGTTGGACACATCATGTGCTCAACAGTTACAGCTGTTCTTACGTCGTGGAAATATGTCGTAACCATATAGCAACACACTAAACACCGATATTGATCAACTTCGGGGTGTGAGTCTAAAAAACAATGGCTCATAAATATCTCCTGAAAGCTAAATGGGGTTCCTCCAGCCCAGTTGCAACATTGCAAAAATTATCAGTTTTCTGCTCTCTGTAATCTGGCTTCTTAATGCCTTTTTTGAATTAGTGAGCAGTGCATTTGAATGATTGCCAAGAGAGAAACGTATGAGCTCTTCCATGTCTTCCCTCAGGCATTAGAACAGCAAGCTAGGCTGTTAGTGTTAAACGGCCTGATATTGATGCCTTACAAACCAGCTAAAGAATAAAATTATCTGTCAATACACAGACTACTCACCATAGTGCTGGATTTTAGGATGTTAAACTGATTTTATGTAGTTTAACATGCCGAGGTCATTAAGACGTCATACATCTGACCAGGAGCTGGAGGTGGAGACTAGAGCTGTGTGCTCTAAATGCAAAATAAAATGCAAACACATGCAGCCTCGTTTCTGATACAAGTGTACTCCCACATACAACCTCCCAGAAAGAGTTTTCAACAGAGGAGGACCATCCTTTTAGGGACCCCCACTTCTAAAAATCAGACTTGTAGAGAGGATGTGATGATTACGCTGAGCTGTATGACAGTTTCCCTGCGGTGATGGTGGTAAGTAATTGTCTGTGGGTAACTTTAATGAGTTAGAGACGTGCTGAGCTTTGTCCACAGAACAGAAGCACTTTCAGAGCTTACAGTCGTATCCGGAGCTAGACAAACTCTGCATGCGCCAAAACCCTAGGTCCATCTCCTTTTCAAAGGCAGAATCTCTGAATGTATGGATCCGCATTTACACTTTATTGATTTGTGGGATTTTGTCTGAGCCGTTTCCCCTCAGGTTCCCCATGTAAGCGGTCCTTTCTTGTAACGTGAGACCACCGGCCACCATTAGACACTTCCTCATACACCAAATTCATCAAAGCTTCTCATTTGACCCATTTCAAGGAAACAGACTCTCTTCATTCCATTGATTCCACAACTGGTATTGTATTTCCGTAGATCACGTATCTTTCAGTATGTTTTTTTTTTAGTAGCACATCTTTTAATCACAATTAACGTTGAGGACACTGAATTTTTGTGATTATTTCTTTCTGTAACAACGTTTGTAGATCGGGAAGAAGGAGGCGGGAACCCTCCCCCCTCCGGGGGAGCCGATCACGGCGGCCGCGGTGTACCTGGGGGTAAGGACAGACAGACGAGGCGAGAGAAAAGGAGACGGAAGGATGAGGAGAGACAGAGACGAAAGAGGGGAGAGAGAAAAAAAAAAATCTTGTTCCGGTTCCCAGACACACTGCCGCTCGGCCCTCCACCAGCTGGGTAAACTCTTCCGCGATGCCAGACGGCGGCACTGGACAGCCCTCGGTGGACGGCCTGACACTCCTCCGCCGCCCGGTGACGGCTCCTTCGGGTTCGGGCAGCCGGCAGGAGTCCCCCATTCCCTGCTCCTCCCCATCATGGCGGATGGCAGCAGGCTCCGGCCTCAGGCGAACGGCGGCGACTCCTCCGCTCCCTCATGGCCTCCACAGCCCAGGCGGCCGGCAGTGAGTTTGTCCGCCCCCACCCCGGCAACTCACTTCAGCCCACCGCCTCGAGCCTCCATGGCGGCAGACTGCTCCCCAATGCTCGATGGCACCGCGGACTCACCACAGCGGCGAGGGATCACTGGCAGCGCTCTGTTCCCACGACTCTCGGCCCCACCCCTCTCGTCACACTTTCTTTTTTGGGAAAGATATACAAAGCCAAATATATCACCTTATACATGTCAAGTCGCATTTATTTAGATAAATAAATTTTTATTTATTTAGATATAACCGTGTCATTGTCCAGCTCAGCTCAGCTCAGGTTCTTATCTGATAATGTCAGTAATGCAGGTAAATGGATAGTTGTAACATGGAGGCGTGACAACGGAGTTGAGGATCCAAATGCAGTCTTTATTCAAAACAACAGCAGCAAACAGATATAATCCAGGGCAGACAAAAGAGTAATCCAATAAACAAGCAAAAGGTCAGGGCAGGCAGCAAACGATCAGAAAACAAGGAACAGTCCAGGGTAAAAAAAAAAGGCAAGCCAACAAGGAACACGGAAAACACAGGAACTAGGCCTAAACACGGGCTAAACAATACTGAGCCATGTGAAAGAGAGAAACCAGGCTTTAAGTAGGGTGAGACAGATGAGGTAACAAGACACAGGTGAATGCAATCATTGATGATGATGAGTCTAGGCAAAGGATTATGGGGAATGAAGTCCGGGGTAAAGTGGCAAAAGTCTGTAATGGAGAGTGCCCTCTAGCGAAGCTCACAGGCTCTACAGCTAGAGATCGTGACAATAGTATTACTGTATATAATAAAACGGTTAGTTCCAGCCCTTGATTCTGATTGCTCAACAGCTGTGTTTTATTCACTATAAAGCACAGCTACGACTGCTTTACCCCATGGTTCTTTACCGATTTACCCCATATCACTGCGCAACACCCTTAGTGAGTGATCCCTGCTGGCGTTATGTTACGTCATTTAGCCTTCCCCTGTCAAAGAAACACTTCTCATATGGGAGATCCGTTGATGTGTGTGCTGTGTCTGTGTGGAAGCCCACAGTTTCTGAAATGTGGAGGGAATATTACTTTCTTTATTAGTTTCCATCCATTTACATCAAAAAGTCCATCAATTTACACTGTAATGATGTAATGATACAAATCTGACTGTTTTAAACCAGAAGACAGAAAACAGATGTTTTCTCATGTTGAGAGATAAGCAGATGTGCAGTATGTGTGTGAGAAAATACCATATATGGCGTAAAAAATAAATTAATCAGTCAATAAGTGACACCGCGGATGAGAACAGTTCCTATTCTCTGTTTTTATTTGAGCTCCATCAGATGAGGCATGTTAGACTGGAACATTCTCTTGCCATTTACTATCACTGTCAGGAACTATTTTTAGTGGAAGAACAGCATTTAACAATGTTCAAAAAGTAACATCAATACATCAGTTTTTGGTTTTAATATTTGTATTAAAATATTTGTGTGGTAACCGTTTTATAAAAGTAATAATGTACTCAAGGCATGCTGTATTGTGAATAAGTCACGGCTGAAGGATTTGCAGTGACCCCGCTTCGCTTCATGCCTAACAACGCCCTTCAGTTGTGACTTATTCAATACAGAATGGCCTCTTGTACCTTATTGCTTGCTTAAATATGTAATCCCATTTTGTACATCAGATTTTGCTCTTTGTGTGACACACAACCACCTTTTAAATGAAATAGGAATATGAAATATATAAAATAGGATTTGCCAAAAAATCACTCCACAAATATGTTTCTGTTCACTCGTATTATTTTGATCAAATATAGCTAAAACCAAGCATGGAGAAATTTCCAATGACATTTTGGTTCCAAGTGGTAATAGATGATTTGAGTTTACAGTCACAATGTAAACTCAACCATGTTGCCATGGTTTTCACCAACGGCCAGAGTGGGTTCAGGATTAACTAAACAATAATTTTGTAATTTTGTTTCATATTTAAATGTGGTTGTCACTCTCAAAACTTTTTATCTATTCATACATAGTCATAGTTTATTTAATTCTTGGTTCTTGGTTCTCTGAAACTTGCATCGTTTGTGCCAAACCAGTACCTGCAGCAGTA